ACTGATCCAAATTGCGCCCCGAGTTGTTTTCCAGCTTTTGAAAGCTGGTGCAGATCGTATTCGAATTTGCAGATTGTTAAGGGCGCGTTTGGTACCTTTACGAGGCCTTGGCCTGCTCAATGCAGATCATTGCCAAGTATCAATGAAAATGGATGATATTACCTCAATTTCATATTATAAGTCATCTTAATTTTTTTTCTAATCAAACTTTTTTAAACTTGGCTAGGTTTACAGAAAAATATAGTAAAATTCTCAACACAAAACAAATATACTATCAAAATATATTAAATGTTAGTTTTAATGAAACTAATTTGGTTTTGTAAATGTTGCTAATTTTTTAATAAACTTGATAAAACTTTAAAAGTTTAATTAAAAAAGTAAATGTAACTTATAATGTGAAACAGAGGAAATACTTGATCATTAGTTATAAATAGACATGTATCAGCTAGGCCCGGCTCAATCCATATAGAAGAAACCAAACAACTAAAAGAGAATGCACGCATAAAATAAACTAGTGAGAGTCCATGTTGGAGCTAATAAGTGTGTCTAGCCAAGCCACTAGAAATTCCTACTTTATTTATTATCACATTGTACTTCTACCCAATTTGGAAAGCTACTTATGTTGATAGTGGTTACAACCAAACAACTTTCTAGAGTGCCTCAGAATGCATATGCGTTGGAGCATGAAACTCCTTTAGTGGAGATCGTATACTCCCTCTTTAGAGATTCGGCTAGGGGACAGTTCCAGCCTAGATCCCAATCAAAGAGTGATGAACATAGGGGATTATACAAGTTCGGGCTACACGGATACGTAATACTCAACTCCTGTGTGTGTACTATGGATAACCGTGGATGAGTTACAATAAGATAGGAACTTTGCAAGTGTGTTAATTGCTAGCCATCGTATCCCTCTATCCATTGGACTGGACTCTCCTTTTATAGATTATGACTGGACTTTCCTTTTATAGATTAAGGGGCATTCACAGTGCCGTTACATAGGTCTTTGGATGGGGCTTGTACCATTAAACATGTCATGATTGGTCTTATTGAAGTCCTTCGATCCGGATGGAGGAATGCTTTCTCGTTGGCTGAATGAGAAAATGTGCCAATAGTCAAAAAGACGCATGCCCCTGTTGATCGTGGGTCCACCAGGGTGACACCTTCCACAAGCGCTCCCATGTTCTAAACGAGATGGATGGACGACTCACACCATATCATCATTAATGCGGGGGAGTTGTTGGCCAACTTCCTCGCTGATGAGGAGCATATCTCGACTAGGTATTTGTAGATTATGAAATTCGTTGGAACCAGGGTATACACGAGATTAAGGTAAAAGAGATGGGAGACATAGATTTTTATACAGGTTCGGGCCTCTTAACTAATAAGTAATAGCCCTACTCCTGTTGGTTGAAGCTGGTGTTGCCTTTAGATATCAGTATCACACGAGTACAATTTATTTGGGATGACCTAATCTAGTCGATGTCGGTTTAGCACTCACATGTAGTCAATGTCGGTTTAGCGGCATGGAGCACTCACATGTGGTCGATGACTAGCGTAGTCAGCTTCCTCGAATATGAATTCAATGAGATTGGAGATGCCTCTAGATCCCTCATGTCGACCTTTGTGGATCCTATGTAGGATCGAATCACAAGAACTAAGCCAACCAGAGGGGGGTGAATGGTTGGTATACCCAAAAACTGAAAACTTTTAGCGGAAACAAAAGTTACCCTCGAAATCGACGGATCGCAGTCTGACCGAAGTGAATGCGCCGATCTGACCGCCTGATGAACGTCGGTCTGACCGAGATCGAACTCCGGTCGAACCGCCGAGATCGCCTGCTACTGACTCCTGTCGTCGCCGGTCTAACCGCCGTGTACCCGCCAGTCTGACCGCCGCGATGCTGCCGGTGTGCTGCCGGTTAGACCGCCGAAACCTGGTGAAACTCAAATCGAATAACTCTTAAAGTAGATGACGACTTTATTGATTCTCTCTGTGTTTACAAAGTGCACCAATAGCACTCTTTACAAAAATTTCGACTAAACTCGAAACCCTAACTCAAAACTCAACTCAATTGCTCTCTAAAACGATACCGGGAAGCCTCACGCTCCCCCTCTATTTATACCCGAGGTAGGCAGCCTAAAGCCACGAACCAAACTCATACTAGGAGTCCTAAATACCTTAGGAAACCCTATAGTACAAGAAACAAACTTTACATAACCAAACGTACCAAATTTGGACACCTTCCAAATTCGACTCTGCATCCCATACGCACACAATACCTCCATCGTATGCCATATAGAATCTCCATCAACCACGTGCATCAACTCTAGCCTAAGTATCCCGCATGATCTCTGACCACCACGGACATCGTCTTATCCCCAAGCCGACTCCCGGTTCATCACCGCAAATACTCTCCTGAGGTATCGAGTCACCTACACATAAAATAAACAAAAAAAACCATATTTCGAGACCAAGCTATCTCCAACTTGACTCATTAGTAGCAAACAATAGTATTACATACGTATAGTATCCATTTAGAAGCCATAATCATGAAATAATCACGGATATCCAAACAAACAACCTGAAACCGAAACCGACACAGCGTCGGCCGGTCAGACCGCGGGCTGGCCGGTCTGACCGCGCGCATACTGCCGGTCTGACCGGCAACCACTGCCCGGTCTGACCGGACCCAATTCCAGCAGTACCTGTAGATTCACCTGTGAAATCCAATCATCTCCAAAACCACTTCGTGAATAAATTCCAAATATCAAAACCAATAATCTCCGATGCCAATTGTTCATCACATAATAATAATCAAAAACACCTTTGATTTTACATCCTATACTGGGTTTATCATCTGTCCTTGTCTCCCCCCTTCTTCTAGGAGGTCTTGTATTTATACTCTTGGATATTCCCTCGTCCAAGTAGAACTAGGGATGCAAGTATGAATACGATCCGAGTAGAACTATGCTTCTCTTTCCTTGTCCGTAACACCTTTCGTATATGAGACATTATTCTGTATAAGACTTGGTATATGGTGAGTCCCGCCGAGCCCAACCCAAAACTATTAGGTATGTCTTATCTATAGCACTAACACTCGTCCAGTCAACTTTGTCCTGGCATGACTGCACACACCAGGGCAGGGGCGTGCTCGGACCCTTGCCTCGGACCCAAAGACATCGGGCCCCATCTCTAGGCAGCCATCGTGTCCTATCTTCATGCTATGAAGATGTAGATATTATATGTCTCTTGAATATGTAGATATTGTACGCCTCTGCTTGTATCACTCATGCCCCAATGACCCGAGGGAATAGGACCCCAGCTCTCGTTCCTCCAACAGTATGCATAACAAGACTAATTCGACATGTCCATTGTCAACTAGGCTTGCTTAGGCACTATAGAATATGCTCACTCCTACGGTAGTAGTCCCACCAAACATACTGGCGCACGCACATAAGCTGCGTTCTTGAATGGGTGTTCTTTTGAATTCAAGACGCTACATTTGTACTTGAACCATTGATGTGTTTGATCGAAACGGAGCGGAAGAAAGCGCATGAACACCAAACATCTTTTGTGGGGCCATACAATTAGAGGAGACCAATCAAACACCGTGTCAAATTTAGATACATGTCGACCTTGTCGCCACCACTACAACGGGGCATGCTTTAGTTCACAGCCGTGACTACCACTATCATATCTCTCGAGTGAACTCACAGTGGTCTGTTCGATGACATGCTCGACTTTACCTGAGCTCCATCTCCATAGACAATCACAGATGATGTCAAAAGCATCACTTAGTCATGTACAGAGTAAGTACCACCATCGCCACTCACCATTGAGGAGTAGAGTAGGCATACACGTCACTATGTGTGTGAGGAGGAGGCATCAGCTTGCAGAGAAAGAAGATTCAACCACAGTACATAACAGAGTCCATATTGCTTACGATTTGGAAAGTATATCAATGAGGTCATGAAGAAACTTACTCATAAAAAATGAGGTCATGAAGAAACTTACTCATAAAAGCGATGCATCTATCTTCCCTACTCGCATGTCTACATGTACGCGAATCACCGGCTCATTTTTTTCCTTCTAGTTCATGCTTGATACTCGCACAGCAGCAACAGATGAATATAAACAAGCGTGTTCACCGCTCAGGTTCCAAGACAGAAGAGGTTGCGGGCCTCACAACGCGAGGCATCGATGGAACAATGAAAGACAACTACTATCTCCGTCCAAAATTATAACAATCCTAGAGCACATTGTAGTCTTAGGATCAGATTAGACATGTCCGATTTTATCTTTTGGATAGAGGTACAATACCAAACGGTAAGCGGTAACGGTGATGCTTAGGGGGTGTTTGGGAACTAGGGACTAAATTTAGTCCCTCTTACAAAAGTATAACGACTTGTTTGGTAACTCGAGGAAAGAGGATTGAGAGTTTACACGAGGGAATTGATGATGAGATTAATATGGGAATTTGATTTTTAATCCCAATATCTTGTTTGGTAGAGGTGATGGAAATTGATAGGGAATTTAGTTGGAGATTAGGTCATTAATAAAAACGGATGGCTGAGATTTGCTTAAACAAAGTAAAGGAGGAATTCCCTCCCAATTACCTGCCCCTACCCAAGTATTGAAAAGGAGGGAGTTCCTTCCTCAATTCCCCATCCTCATCCCACCAAAATTCCCATGTCTTCTAACCAAACAACCTAAAGATACCTGCTCAACGTAGATGCAGGGAGTAGAAAGGCTGATCCAAATTTATTGCTGCAGCTATACATTCAATGTAGAAGAATTTGAATTTTAGAATCGAAGGTTCATAATATAAGACTTCTCGGCTCTTATCCATTTTTCGAATTTTTTTAGAATGAATACATGATTCAATTTGGCAGACAGAGTAGTAAAGATTTCATCGAAAACTTATAGCAGCTTGCCAAACAAAGGCGAAAACTTATAGCAGCTTGCCAAACAAAGGCTGATAGAAAAAAAAGTACAGGTATGATAGGCATAAAATCCACGATTGGGTTGAAAATGGCATAAAACTCTTAATAGCCTCATCCTTCTAAACTTCCAATCCCTCCTAAAAACTCTCTCCAACCAAACGGGCCGTAAGTCCCTATGGTAGGGACTTATATTTTTGTGAGAGGGACTAAAGTTTAGCCCTACTTTAATCCCTCCAACCAAACACCACTCTAGTACTCTGTAGGGCAAGTTGTGATTTGAGGCTTTGAGCACCATCTGATTCCGTGGTTGGCAATGGAGATGGAGCTCCAGGGAGTCGAGCACGTCGTCGGACTGACCGTGGCGAGTTCGACTGAGGGAGATGACAGTGGCAGCCACGGACGCGGACCAAAGCGTACCCGGCATAAGTGGTGTCGACAAGGTCATCCGTTTGCACGCCAATCTAGATCCACGAGAAGAAACGAGGCCACGCCTCCCGGCCGGGCCCCATCCGCACATTGTGGCGGCGCGCTCCAGGGCTCCAGCGACGAACGCCGTGGCCCGCAGCCGCGCGCAATGGTCACCTCTCGGTTTGATTTGCCCCATTGTGGGGGGCGATCGCGGATCACCCGCCCGCACCACCGGACCGGAGGCGGCGCCCCTCTACGTCATCCTCCGCCCCTCTGGTGCGTTGCTAACCTACAGGCCCGGGGACGGCGAGGGCGTCCTCACGGAGTCACGGCCACCCTCTCGAGGGCTCGACTCCCCCTGATCAGGAAATCTGATGGCACGGTGAGATCTCTAGCATTGGGCGCTGCCGCTTGTGCCTGAAACCTGTTTGTTAAAATGCGTCCGTGCGTCCGCGAGGCGGTTGAGGATGTGCTTGCCTTCCCTGCACCCGTCTGGAGGAAAGTTAGTGCTCGCATGGGTGGATGTAACATCACTTGCTCGTATCAAGTGCTGGAGAAGTGGAAACGGTCTACACGAGCACATAGCCCGGTCCTTCATCTCAAGTGGTGCTAATGCTTGTCTTGCCGTTTCGAGTGGAACCGGGAATCCCTGCACCTGTTGGATGTGAACTGCCCTATACGCTGGGCTGGGTGGATATTTTTTTTAGGGTAGGCTAGGTAGGTTACTGTTGTTTGAAAGGGTAATGGCGATACTGATCGATGTTAGTCATGGATGGTGATTGAAGTCTGAACATGTAACGGTTTCCTGTTTCAGGGTTTTGTGGTGTTGATCTGAGAAGGATGCCAGCAGTATAAGGCAGTCACAATGGTTCATGTTATTGGCACACCAATGCATGCCCAGTTGGTGGCTTGGAGCTGGAATGAATATGACGCATGTTTACCTGGTGCTCCTGTAACCAAAAATCACAGTTCCTGGCTCTTTTGCGGCAGTGGCTGAGTGATATATAAAGAGTGCTGCACAGACTGGTAAACATTTTCTTGGAAGACCTTGTAATCTTGGTGGCTTTCAAGAATTTTACACTACGCAAGTGTAATCACTTGATGCTGCTGCAAAAATTTCTTATGGGAAGTGTTCCATTTGCTGTTTCATTTATCACCTGCATGTGTCATGATATTATTTGATGTCAGTGCAGATAGTTGACAATTGATTGGCACGAAAGTGGAGAGGAAGATAAATACAATGGTTGTCCACAATACTTCTTTCTAATGGTATATATCTGCTGATTACATCTGTTGATTACATGTTCTAGATTAGCTTATCACATGCTCAGATAAGTTGGTTTTTGTTTATCCCAATACAGAGAACATTTTTTTGAATTTATTATTGCCTGGAATATTAGTGTTTGGGAACGTAAGCTGCCTCAAGAGTCAAGATAGTTTTAGTGGTTTCATGTTTTGTCTCTGCACTTAAACTGCAGAATTACTATGTTATCCAGTTATCCTCTTCATAAGCATAGGGTAAACTAGGAAACCCGGTTAAAGCTACAAGTCTTTGTCCAAAACCACCTACATATTGTGATACACTATAGATTCCATTGAAACTATATATATACAAGGGGAAGTATATATACAAGGGGAAGTACTTACATGTTTTAAAGTTTAATGGATCATTTGCTCTGGTATATAACTTATTATGATGGCTACATATTTCTTCCTTCGAATGTATATCATATGTTTGCTTTTCTCCTATTTGCTGCACCACTATTGATGGTTTTACCAGATGAAAATAATTATGCACTGTGCCTTCTACTGAGACAAAAGAACCTCCGGGAACAGAAACCGAAGATTTGCACTAGAAATACTCATTGGCAGATATGTTCCAGATAAGTGGTTTTTTGAAGCATTTAATATGCTACGTCTGTAGAGGCCCCAAATCATGAATACTTAGGAGAATGGAGATAAAGGCTGAACTTGCTATTCCTTTTACTAGCCAAAATCATGCAGTGATGTACTCCCAGTCTAAAATAGATGCCATTTTGTCAAGTTGCTTCTCATTTCCCTTGGTAAAATTTTCCTCTAAATGGCCCCTATCGAATTTTCATTGGTAAAAATAGTGGAAATGCTAATTATGATTCTTTTTTTCCCTTTTGGGTATGCGTTGAAAGAAGTTGATCTTTTTTGTTTTATCAAATTTTGTGTAACTCATTGGTTTGCACTGGGTATGCTTCTTGCAGAGAGTTATGGTGTTGGAACATGGTTGTGTCATTCGCACTTAATTGGTTTGTGTCTTGCAGAGAGTTGTGATCTTTTGTATTAGCTTATCTTTTCCCTGAGCAATTCTTTTGGACTCTCCTTGACTGCTCTAGACTGTTTATAGAGATCATGTTTAGACTGTTTTGTGGTAAAGTACAGACCAAATAACTAACAATGTGGTCACAAAGATAAAAATAACTATGACTTACCCTACAACTGCTCCCATTTATAATATACTGTTATTTTTTAAAGAGTGCAAACTTATGTTACTGACACCATTGGAAGAGCACTGCAGTGTGCAATAGATTTTGAGATCCTATTTGCAGAACTATAAATCCTGACTTCAATCCAAGTATTCAACTTAGCCTTTGGCAGTAACATTGAGCATTTCACAACTATGAAAAATACAAAAAAAATAATGAGATACAACTGTAATAACCATACAACCAAGGTTCTGAAAGCAATGGCAGAAAATTCCGACATCCAGCTTATCAGCTAACTGAACATTTCCTTCGTCTTTACCAATCTTAAGTCTAATAGGACAGTTTCTAGACCTGCTAGGCTGCTGCGCAAAACTAACCGTTTGGACTTCATCTCAAGAAAAAAGTTCTTTCAGTATTTTAGGTGCAAACTTTTGCTTTTGTGTATTATCAAGATAACAGAAGAAGTTCTGGAAGCATGCCAGCTTTATGAAGGATGAATAATCTCTTTAACTACTATTTAGTCATTTGTTCATTATAGATATTAAAAGGAAGGTTAGAGAAAATGGAACTTACATTTTTGGGTGGTCATAAAATATCACACAAGTTATTTAGAATGTTCAGGACCTACTTTAGCAGAGGTAGCATGGTCTGATGTGCAGTCCAATCTTACTTTTGTTCTTTTTTAAAAGGAAGATCTTTTTTACTTTTTATATTAGATCATTGTAATGAATGTAACTTTGGACCTTTGGTATTTCTGCTTGTTGAAAGGGCAACCATGGTTAGTGAGCTTCATTCAATCTCTGTTGGTGGTGAATAGTGATTCTTCCCTTGTTGTGTCATGAATGTTGTTTTTTTGTTAAAAAAAAGTTGTTTCCACCACAGGGTAACTGCTGATTTTGCAAAAGTTGTTTATACAGAGAAACAAACTAATTCACCTTTTTACTAGGTTTTCCAAGAGGAAACTTATTTATTCACAAAAATAACGGGTGGATATGGATTCTCTGCTAATCTCTCATATTTGCCTGTAGAATGTTGCACCTGTGCACCATGCACAGTACCCTTTTTCTTCTTGTTCACATACATCATGTAAGATGGTAGTTTCTTTTTCCTATACCAAGTCTCAGATCGTGCAAGTTCGGTACACTTCAGTTTCATCTATAGCATGTAGATAGTAGAAGGCCCCTATACCATATTCCCTTTATTAGTAACTTAGTTTTCTTTCCATTTTACGGGTACAGCCATATTTCGTTCTATTTCATGCATCCAAAGTAGTAGCCGGTCTCAGCATCCTTTTCCTTCTTGATGACGCTAAAGCTGAATATTGCGTCTGCTTGAGTGGCTCCAGGCCTCCGGTTCCATATCTCTTGCAAATTCTGCAGGTCCGATTGTGCCAAAAGGAATGCCAATTGTTCGGAGAACATACATCTTAGCTGCTGGATTATTGCTTGGCATCAGGGCTGTGGGAATCACTGACTACCTGGAGATAACGATTCCTCTGGCATATTTATCTGTGGCATGGCTTCAGCCAGTTGTATCAATTGCGTCAGAACATGGGAATGCTGAATGCTCGAATACCACCAAGGAAACTAGTTTCCAATCGGGCATGAGCAGAATATGTTCAGCAACCTCTATAATTCAATGGAACAAGCAGATGTCATCGATGCGTTGTCAATACATACTGGTATGTCCTGTACTTAAACAATGCACTTCATAACTGCCCGACTTCTCCTGTAAGACATGTGAATTACAAAATCCGGATTGCACTTCCCTTAAACAACTTGCAGGCTCCCCAACGGGAGACGACATCTACCTGCCCAGTACAATAATTCTGCATCTATGCAAATATGCAATAGTCCATGTTGAAGCATGCAATATTTCTATCTGCTACCCCATCAACCACGGGAAGCATGTCAACTACGCCAGAAGCTGAGAGTTCGCTGTACCTACCAAGATGATCGATCTTCTATAACCAAATTGGAGCGCAGGTACACGCACCTTTCCACCATTATTCAAGAAAAAGGCCTATGCTTTCTACAGTGGGTGATGCAACCTTAGGAAATTAAAAATAATAATGGTGCTGGTCACCAATAAGCACATGGTTTATCTTTATTTTCCCCTGGTTATGGCATGTTTTTGCCGGTATCGCGACAGGCACGTCTGGGTGGTCCGGGGCGGGAAAGTGGCCTGGAATCTGGAATCTCCGCGCTCCACCTCTTATTCCTCAATTATATCGTCCATTTGCAGAATCTGAATATTTGCACGAAGGCGAGGGCGGACATGACGCCCCAAAAGCGCGATGGCGTCGATGATGCTTTCACTCTCCCTGCCGTGCCCAATGGCAGAGCAAATGCTGGAAAGGAGCGCACCACCGCCAGTACTGGCACTTTCCTCCACCTCGCACGAACAAAAGTCGCTGGAGCACAACACAAAGCGGCAGTAGCACCGGTGCCACTCTACACACACCCCGTACCGCGTGATGGTCACCGTTGCCATCTCCCAGGGAGGAGAAGGGCCAAAAGAATATTAAAGTAAACCAGAGGACGAAAGCGAAAGCAAAGGCAAAGCACGGGGCTTGCGCCCTGCGTCGCGTTGGATTTGCATGAATCTTGCGTGCCCCGGGGAGGGGCCCCTCGGCCGGCCGGCAAGTTGCAGCCAGAGCTGGCTCTCGGCTTGTGGCTGGAGCCAAGGCAGCAGCACTGCCTTGTGTAAATGAGCAGTACATGGCAATGGCCGCCATGCATTGTGGTTGTGGAGGCACAGAGGTAAAAGGCGAAGGCGATTTAAAAAGAGCCGGGTGGTTAACAGTAGAGGAGACACCAATCACTTCGTGGGATTCAGAATTCAGAGACTGGGTCATGTGGCGCGCGCAGGCTGCAGCACCGGTGAGTTTTTCAGTCTAGTTTTCAGGTCAGCTTTCCACGCTCTGTCGTGGCCGGGCGAGACACCCCATTCGCCGGCGCAGTCTATTATAATCCGGTTAATGCGATCTCTGGCACTGAAACTGGACTCGCCTGAAAGTTGAAACTGCGCAAAAGAGCAGCAGACGATGACTCGTGAAGGAGAAAGCGGAGAGTGGTCACCGGTCAGGTCAGGTGATGCCTTAACGCGTGACGTGACCGAACTGGAATTTCCCGACGAAGAGCTGAGTCCCCTGCGAGAGCTGAGTCAGATACCACGCGATGCAACAGAGCAAAGTGGCATTGAGCCGCTGACACACTCACTTATCTCCGGTCTGTGATCTCCTATTTCACCATGCATTCGGTCGGGAATCGGGATCGCCGACGGCGTCGGCGTTGAGATACACTGACCTCCGGCTGAGGCTGGTCGGTGCGGCTTGCCGAACAAACAATCAAGTGAAAGATTCATGCAGTGAATTGTATAGTCGCATCGATCAAGCAGAGCCTTTCGCTTTCTCTTTCTCGGAAAGCCCTTGTTTTAGTAGTAGTAGTATGTCGCACTGTTAATGAGCACCTCCTCTACAACTGTCTCGAGGCCGTCCTCTGTAACAGTGTCTGCCACTGCCCACCGGAGCTTTTGAGTGGATCTGCTCGTCCGGAGAAGAGTCATGTGGCCGTGTGCCCAAGCTGGGAAATGAATGAATCTTGCAGCTGCTGCCTGCACAGTGTCCACCAACTGGATGGTGCAAGTATCTGGCCGTGGCTTTGCTTTAGAGTGAAAAGAGGACAGTGAGAAGGACTCGAGATTATTGGGGCATGTGATTCTTCTTACTGGGTGGACCTCCAACTCATTCCCGACTACTGCGTGCCAGCCACTATCAGGCAAGGGACAACCTTCATTTCATTTCCAGACGAGCTGATTGACGAATCAATTGGACTCACTCTGCAACTGGCCAACTAACTGGAGCAGAGCTGCCCCTTTTGAACTCAGATTCAGAGCAAGCCGAGGCTGGCTGGCAAGTATCATGAGGCGGAGTATTTTAAGCCGATCTGATTAGTGGCAGGTGAACAATTAATATATTTTGGGTCGTATGGAAAGTACACACAACAATTAAGAGAGGGAGTCCACGGCGAGGCCGACCGATCCCTAGCCGCGCTGTGGACACGGGATTACCATTTCCAGGTCTTTATTGCTCCAGCGACGGCATGCTTTCGTTCAGATCGGTGAGAGCCTTATCAAATCTGAACTCCCATTGCGGTGCAGTGCAACAACGGTAGACGCTTTCTTTTGTTACAAGCATTGAATAGCATATGCTCCCAGTACTACCAAACAGGGGCACTAGTACACTACAACTGCCTTACAACAACATCAGCACATCAGAAAACCGTTATAGCTATAATCTGACCTGGTGTTCCTGATCAAAACAGTAACCGGTTAGTGGCTGGAAAACAACACACAGGCTTCATCAAATGCTTATTTCAGTACTCTGGCCCTATACTTTTCTATGTACACTGGAGTTGCGCGCCGATGGCGTCTCGTGGCTCTCCATGGACACGGCTGCAGGGAGATGGTGGCAGTACGCTGAACGCTGTGCCACTCTCTGATGATGGACTGATGCCCTTACCCCTTCCGTCCAGTACTTTGCGATCCTGAGACGCATGAAGCAACTCTGCAACCAACTGGCTAGCCAATCACACACTGACACGGGACTGCGACTTGGCCGGAGCCTCGTCGTTCCCGTAGATATGATCGGAGGCGGTGCTCTGTGTTCCTCCTTGTGCGGTTCTCCGCCGCTGAGAACCGCCGTCACAAGTGTCCGCATTGCATCTGCAGGAGGATGGCGTCGTCGAGGCCAGGCCCCGTACCGCCGCCGGCCAAGAACGAGGCATTGGGCTCTAGCTTCACGTTGCCGTAGGGGTGGTGGCTGACGCCGAGCGCTCCCGGCAGCGGCGACATGAAGTGCCGTTGCGCGCCGAGTGACGGTGGCGGGGGAACGGGTTTCGTGTCCACGAGGGAGCCGAGCTGGTCTGAGGCGGTGGTGAGCACGGACGGCGGCGATGGGGAGGGGTTGCTGGTGTCTTCTTCTGGCAGGTTGACCGTGGTGATGTCGTGGATGCTAGACCGGCGCTTGTCCTTGCCGCCGGAGTTGAGGCGGATGAAGTACTTCTGCGCGTGGCTGGCCACCTGCGTCGGCGTCCGGCTCGTCACGAAGTAGCGCGAGATGTTCCTCCAGTCTCCCCTCCCGTACTTCTTCAGCCCCATCAAGAACGACCTACACCCACAGCAACGCGATCAGAACTCAGCCAATTGAAGCGACAACATAGTCGGTCTCAGATCCACCGAATTTTAGCAGCAACAGCTACGGCTCTGATCGAATCGGGTGCTTACTTGTGCTCCTCCTCCGTCCACGGGACGCCTTTCTTCCTCTCCTGGTCCGGGGCGCGGCCGCGTTTGAGGTAGCAGCCGCGCCTGAACCCGCCGTCGCTGCCGTCCCAGTCCTGCAGGGTGAACCCGGAGGACGCCGGGGACAAGCTGCTGCTGTAGTGAGGGAACGGCACCAGCCCTGCCTCGATGGAGCCGACGTCGTTCTCGAGGTCCCTGTAGTGGTTCATCACGTCTATGACCGTCTTCCTGGGCAGCATCGCGGCGACCATCTCCCACCTGTTCGGCGAGTCCAGGTCGACCTGTGCGAGGGCCCTCTCGAACACCTTGTTCTCCTCTGCCGACCACGCCTCCGCACCTCGCCGCTCCTGCAAGTACCAGCACGGCTGCCCGGGGAAGTAGGGCAGCGGTAGCACCTCCCGAAGCGCCTCTGCCATCATCTTGCCCTCGCTCGCGCTGCTTGTGACCTAGGGCGGCGACGAGCCGAGACGAAGACGAGACACAGGGAGAGACGGGGAGTAAAAGGGCGAGGTGGAAGGAAGCTTGCGTATATAGGGAAGGAGTGAAATTCGGGCGGTAGCCGAAGTGGCCGGAGTTTATTCCGCCTCCACCGTTAGAGGCCTTAAAGAAAAGGTACTCAAGGAAGTGGATGTTTGTGATTGGGCCTTGGTGGAGATTGTGGCATCTCCAACCCAGGAGGAAAAAATAGTTAGCTCTCTTAAACTTTGAGTAAGCAAACGGATTAGGGCATTCACCATGCTACCCTAGTCGGTGGCTTCGTAGAGGACTTGTCAATCGACAGCTAGCAAGTTCAGTTACGCAGGAGATTCAAAACTCGTGATCGCAAATGCTACGCGCCATCTACTTTCTGATGTCAACCTAAAGGACAAAGGTAGGGTTCACAGTTCCGTCATGGGGTCAAAATGCAAACATAGTGAGATGTGGAATTTTCTCTTTCATGAATCTTCTTCGAAGTTAAAGACAACTGAGCGATTTGGGAGAGCTCTCGATTTTAGACGAAAACCATGAACCCTGAATTCTCGTAGTTATAAGCATGTCTCAACAAACAAGGATCCACGTTTTTTTTTTGGATGGGATAGGCTCTAGGTGTAAGTTTATGATCTTGTAAATGAAGTGAAGATGGATTCTAATCACTCGGGTTGATGCCCACTCATTTATTGTATGTCAACTAAATGGTTATGAACAATTTTTTTAAAAAAAAAGACAAGATAAATCAATATGTAATATATCACTCCACAATACATGCAAGTTTATATTCAACTTCTATAAGTTGTAACAAAAATAACAAATTTATCTGCAAATATATGTATAGTAATTTGAGTTTTGTTTGTTATTTTTGTTACAATTTATGAAAGTTGAATTTTAACTTGTATGTTTGTGGAGTGATATATTACATATTGATCTATCTTGTCAAAAAAAATATAACTATTTAGATGACATGTAATAAACGGGTGGACATCCACCCGAGTGATTAAAACAGTTTCCTTTCATACGGGCATGTAGGATGGGTGTACTAGCTATAGGTAAAATATATCCGCGTTTGATTTTTCCCTAAGTAGCAAGATATGTAATATTTCCGATAGGATAGGTGAAAAACCTCCAAATTCAGCATGAACTTAGACGCACTGACTAAGTGACTTTTTGGTGTTTACATAGTGATTTCGAGGGTGTTTCTAGGGGTGTAAAGTTTTGGCGCGTTACATCGGTTATTATATAAGGTGTCGCATGGGTTGTTCGGGCACTTATAAAAAACTAAATACAGAACCCATCAGTAAACCGTGAGACGGATTTATTAAGCCTAATTAATCTGTTATTAGCAAATGTTTATTGTAGCACCAAATTGTCAAATCTTATAGCAATTAGGCTTAAAAGATTCGTCTCGCAAATTAGTCGTAATATGTGCAATTAGTTATTTTTTAGCCTATATTTAATATTTTATGTATGTGTTCAAACGTTCGATGTGACATGGTGTAAAGTTTTAGGATGGGATCTAAGGGGCTGTTTGGATGGGACTAAAAATTTTTAGTCCCTGTCACATCAGATGTTTGTATACTAATTAGAGGTATTAAACATAGACTATTGACAAAACACATGTCATAACCCTGGACTAATTCACGAGACGAATCTATTGAGCCTAATTAATACATGATTAGCCTATGTGATGCTACAGTAAACATGTGCTAATTATAGATTAATTAGGCTTAAAAAAATTTGTCAGACAAATTAGCTCTCATTTATATAATTAGTTTTGAAAGTAGTTCATGTTTAATACTCCAAATTAATGTCCAAACATCTGATGTGACGGGATCCAAACACCACCTACGGTTGTGATTAGATCCAGGGGTAAAAAGTTTTGCCGTGTCACATCGGATATACAGACACACATTTGAAGTATTAAACATAGACTAATACCAAAATAAATTACAGATTCCGCATGTAAACTGCGAGACAAATTTATTAAGCCTAATTAATCCATCATTAGCAAATGTTTAATGTAGCACTACATTGTCAAATCATAGCGCAATTAGGCTTAAAAGTTTCGTCTCATATTTTACACGCAATCTGTGTAATTAGTTTTTTTTGTCTATATTTAGGGTCTGTTTGGTATAGCTCCAACTCTTAAATTTAGCTCCAGGAGTTGGGTCTGGAGTGGAGTTGTGGAGCTGCCTAAACCCAGCTCCACAACTATAGTTCGTTTTGTGAGAGAGCTCCACCCAGCTCCACTCCCAGTTTTGGTGGAGCTGAAACTGTTTGGCTGAGCTTCAGCTCCAGGAGGGGTGGAGCTGGAGCTGTGCCAAATAGGCCCTTAATTCTCTCTGTATGTGTCTAAATATTTGATGTGACAGGGTAAAAAATTTTTTGAGTGAAAACTTAACAGGGCCTTCCTTAGCTGCTCCGCGTAATTTGCTTCCTTGTTTGACATCTGTGTCTCTCTTTCCGTGACGACAGTTATTTCTATCTGTGTGCCTTGTGCGCTTGTCAGGTCTGGAGAGAAACAGTGGTAGCAGTAGAGAAGAGAGCAGCTTTCTCATTGTGCAATTGTAGGTGGTGTTGCATTTGTTTATTGTCCTTTGCCTGCTGCCTTTCTCTCACGCCTGCTTTTGATTTATTTAATCACGGTTCTAGAGTTCCTCGATCCCTTTTTGTCAAAGCTTGTTTTGGGTGTACTCTTTGCTAATTGCTCTTGCTGTTTTGGGTATTAGGCGATGCAGTTATACAACGGTCGGGTGTTTTTCAGTGCAACTGCTCCATGGAACTCTGAGCAGATTAAGTATCACACTAGTGGAAGGTTTCTTAGGCCATCCCAAACCTAAAAACTATAGAATAATTTTCATACTTATCATATATATATATACACTATGTATAGAAACTATATATCTAATGAATGGTTTTTTTAAATTAAATTCACATCCAATCACCTCTCTTCTTTCTTCTTTTATCCACCTATTCTCGTGTAGATATAATTTTTTTCATGAGAAATGGTTTCTTCAACTTTTTACCTCTCTTCTCGTTAACTCTCTTCTCACATTAAAATTTTACTTATGTGGAATATATTAAATGTTATGGACAATAGATGATATGAGGGTTGGTGGCCTTATATTTAGGGGTTGTTTAGTTCCCAAACAAATTTTCACGCTGTCACATCGAATGTTTGGACATATACATGGAGTATTAATTGTAAAAAAACCAATTACACACGGTTCGTTAGGAAATTGCGAGACAAAACTTTTAAGGTTAATTGCGCCATGATTTAACAATGTAGTGCTACATTAAACATTTGCTAATGATAAATTAATTAGGCTTAATAAATTCATCTCTTAATTTTCTGACGAAATCTGTAGTTTGTTTTGTTATTAGACTATATTTAATACTTCAAATGTGTGTCCGTATATCCAATATAATATGTAGTGGCAAAATTTTTTGCCGACTAAAGAAGCCCTTAGTACAGGGTTAACCGTTGTGGGTCCACCCACACTGCTAGTAGTACTACTCGGTTCACTGAATTTGGTGCGTGGATTCCCAATTGCGAAAGCAGAATCTCAGATTCACGTCCCAGCTCACATGGAGGACAGGAGGAGCCACTTTTACACCGCATCGTCCTTACGCCTGCACAATCTGTAACCGAACTGTGTATGACAGGCAGGAACAACAGTAATGCTAATAAACGTACACTAGCTTAGATATTACTTTCTCGGTTTCATAATACACGTTATTTTAGTATTTTCTATATTCATATTGATGTTGGTGAATCTAGATATATATATGTCTAGATTTATTAACATTAATATGAACGTGGGAAATACTAGAATGACTTACCTTGTAAAACGGAGGGAGTAGTACTTTAGAAAAAATGTAAAACGTTTGCTAAAAACAAAAAAGGTCAGAAAAAGTTCATCACATAATTGATATTCCAACAATGTTAGACTGATGTCATTTATACAAAGGGCTCACCGCACCGGTGTATATCGGCTACCTACCTTGCTGCTGGACCACTGCACAGTAGCGCATAAATGATTGTCTTGTTGGAGTCTCTTGAGAAGAGAATTCGAGTGGAGATTCCATTTTTCCAGCCTCTGAATGGTGTTTTTCTTCGCATTGTTTATAAGATTAGACAGGTCAAAAGTGCCCTAGTGGAATGTTTTAAATTTCTAACAACCCTGTTAAAGGATTTGTCTCGAAAATGGGCAGTGCCGATATGTTTTTCGTACAAATTTCATGCAAGGTTTCTGTATCAGCAATTCAGCATAAAAATATGCAGCAATGAGAAGGTCGCTTTTACCTCCTCTTGAGAGGGGTCACGCGCTACATAATTTTGCGCCGACCTTTTCAAGCTGAGAATGCCTATCCACAACACAAATAAACAAATTAGCGTACCTTTCAGTCACCTGTCACAGCAATTCTTAACTTACGGTAGAGAACAGACACTGAGCTAATCTAATGACAGATTGACAGATGAAGACAGGAGCTAAAATTCTGCATCAAGCATAAGCAAGGCAAGACCTGGACTAACTTCAATAATAGGCTTATTTACCTACTCCCGTGCTCTGGTTTCACTGCGTGGCGAACCTTCAGATCGCACTCTTTCCTGCCTCTCAGCTCAGCTGCCTGTTTTCAGTGAATGGAGTTGCAGATTTCTTCAGAAAACTTCAATGGTAGCATGAGCAAAACACTGAGAGCTCTTGTGTTTGAGTAGGAGGCTAGGAGCATCGCATCGCGTATTCGCGTTGCACGACGTATCGATGGACGATGGCACGCAACTGTTTGGTGGGCATTTTTTGACTTTTGGATTGGGCAGCCGCGGCCGTACAATACTGCTGGTACCAATCAGCGATGGAATTCGGTCACTCGCTGTCACGGCCCACGTCGCGGTCCCGAGCGGCCGACGTGACCAACTACCAGTCTACTCTTTTCTCTCTCTCTCTCTCTCTCTCTCTGCCTATTGTCTCGCAGCGGACATGACAATGACGCGGCGCCGGGCTAAGCAATTTCGTCCGCAGCAATGCGGTGTCGAGCGCAGATTGAGCGCCAACGCGCGGCCGCTCGCGCCCGGGGATTAGTAAAAAAACGGGGTCACCTGGGAGGCTGCGACTTGGCTTTCCTATACTTTTCAACGGATTCCCGGTGGTTTTGCCGCTCTCCAGCCGCGGGACGCCGTCGGGATGACGCTCGGGTCTCGTATGTTACGGCTAGTTGGCTACTTCTACTTTCGATTGAAAGGGGGTATAGGAGGGGACAATTTTCACAACAGGGCATCGATATGGTTCATTGTCTCTGGCCAAGAGGGCTGAGAAAACTATCTTGCTTGAAGGGGCTTTAATCTTGTAGACTTGTAGTGTACCCCAAGTCCTTAGCTACTTGACCATATACAAATAATACAAGCCAAAAAGGTCGCTTCGTAGCTGCAAATTCTCTCGTTTAAGGATAACAACAACAAAGAAATGTGAAATATGATTATTGTCCCGTCTATGTTCATCTGCATGACTGCATGCAACTGTGATTGAACCCAGCCACCCAGGTGAATTGGACACGGACCTTCGATTTTCCGTTTCTGCTTCAACCTTGGCAGGCCAGAACAACTGCTCGGCCCGATAGGAGGGCCTACTACAGCCCACAACCCAGGTCAGGCCCAATTTCCCCTTCCGTTGACGTTGCAAGATTTTTATGGCAGCCATCACGTCGTCACCGCGTCATGTCATCACCTACCACTGCGAGGAGAAAATTGCATAGTGCGAGCTAAGCGCAATTGGGCGAACGCCGCGAGCCGCCACCAAGCCAAACCAGAGCACTCCGCCGCCGCGCCATGGCTTCCCCGTCCCCGTCCTCCTCACCTCTCCACCCGCAGCATCAACACCAGCACCCGCTTCCCCCGCACCCGCAGCCCCAGTACCAATCCCCACCGCCTCCGATGCCGCCGCCGCCCCCCGCGGCGCCACTCAAAGCTATCGATCTGGAGGTGACCGTCGTCTCGGGCAAGCACCTGAAGAACGTCAACTGGCGCCGCGGCGACCTCCGCGCCTACGTCGTCGCCTACCTCGACCCTTCCCGCCGCGCCGCCACCCGCCCCGACGACGTCGGCGGCTGCAAGCCGGCATGGAACGAGCGCGTCGTCCTCCCTCTCCCGCCCCACCTCTCCCCGCACGATCCGTCGCTGCTCCTCTCCCTCGATGTCTTCCACTCCAAGCCCTCCGATTCGCCCAAGCCGCTCGTCGGCTCCGCCCGCTCCCCTCTCCGTGACCTCCTCTTCTCAACCAACCCTAACCCTAGCCCCGATTCCCCCGCCTCCGCGCTGATCACCCTCCCGCTCCTCCGCCCCTCCGGCCGCCCACAGGGGAAGCTCCGCATCCGCCTCGCCCTTCGCGAGCGCTCCCCGCCTCCTCCCGAGCCGCAGTATCCGCCTCCTTCCTCCTCCCCCTACTATTTCCCACCCCCTCCGCCTCCCGCATACTCGGCCCCGCCTCCGCCTCAATACGGCTCGGAGCAGTACTACCGTTCCGGTGGGTACTACTCTGCACCACCGCCACCGCCTCAGTATGAGTACACCGCAGGGCCCTCTGCCCCGGTGGAATACAACAGGCAATATGATCCTAGAGCGGGGAGTGGGAGTGGAAATGGGAGGTATGGAGTAGGCACTGGGATTGCAGTGGGAACGGTGACGGGGGCCCTTGGAGGGCTTGCAATTGATGAAGGTGTGAAATACAAAGAGGAGAAGTCGGCAGATCGGGTTGAAGATAAGGTAGTGCCTGCTGGAAGAGATGACGACTCAAGGGGGTACCGTGAGTATTGATTATAGGAGTTCATGTGGGTGAGGATGCACTGTGAGTTGGTCCTTCTCCATCCCTGCCAATGTGGGAATAAAATTGCAGTGTGGTATTATGCTTCGCTCTCTTGTATATATTTTCTTCAGTGTTGTGAATTATCATGTTACTTATGCTTATGGCTTGCGTCTTATGACAAATTTGGTGTGTGTTATGAATGTTCTATTATCATATTTAAAACTGTACATGTAACTTAATGTCTTGTTCTATAGTTTATCTTTCCTGTATCTGGTGTTTGGCATTTCTGTAGACTCCTCCAGACCTTTGTATATCCAAGTGAAAGATATAATATGTGGGATAGCAATGATAATTAGGTCACACAAAGTCTTTGCATATCCAAGTGAAGTATGCCAACTTCAGTATTATGTTCATTCCTCAATGTGTAGTTAGGCTGCTCACTTATGTGGTAAGCAAGCTTCTTGCGTTAGGCAATTGTGTACTTGACTAAACCAAAAGCTAGATAAATTATGTTTCTGTGATTGTTACCATGTACTCCCTCCGTTTTTAATAGATGACGCCGTTGACTTTTTCTCACATGTTTGACCATTCGTCTTATTCAAAAAATTTTATGTAAATGTATAAGATATAAATCACACTTAAAATACTATGAGTGATAAAACAACTCATAACAAAATAAATTACAATTACGTAAATTTTTTAAATAAGACGAATGGTCAAACATGTGAGAAAAAGTCAACGGCGTCATCTATTAAAAAACGGAGGTAGTATAAATTTTGTATACATGCTTTCCGTTATGGTGCACTAATTGATAGCTGTTACTCTCTCCTAGTCTCCTGAGCTTAGTACTTGGTACCTTAAAAGAAAGGATATGTATTAAGTTGGCATACTTCATTTCAGATCACAGTTTAGTGACATAGATCAATAGTTTGGCACTGAGGGGGACATTGGTCAAAACAGGTAGGTTGAAATTACTTAGATTTATTTCAGATCAAAATTTATCATATTAAGCAAAAATTTGTCATGTCCATTTGTTTCTTATGCCTCTGAAGGCAATTACAATGTATGCGTGCACTACTAGGCGATCTTTCTTACTGATTTCTATTACCCTTTCTCTTATCAAACTTTTCAAAATACTTTAATGAACTGAAACCCAAATTCCAAGTAAATATGCACTTATTAAGCTGCACAGACATTTGCTAGAACATCCAAAGGTAATATACTCCCTCCGTCCCAAAATATTAGAACCTAGGACCTAGTACAATATATCTGGACAAGATGGGACGTTTCCTAGTACAATACTGATATATTGTACTAGGAAACGTCCCATCCGGTCCTAGGTTCTTATATTTTGGGACGGAGGTAGTATATAATATGTATTTAATTTAAAGCTTATTGCATGGAACCTTTTCATTTGCATATTATACTATTCATGGCATGTAGTTGCATAAGCTTTTCTCATCCTTACTCTTCTTTGCTCATAAATCCAACACATGCTTTTGGCCTGTAGAATTTATTGGCAGATCCCTGGAGTGGTGTCTTAAATGATTTGTTGATGAAATAATTTTCTTTCTAGAACCACAAGAAATACCTATGTTTGCTTTTTTGCAATAACCACCTGAACATATTAAGCAGAAAAAAAATCCTAGTTATTCAGGGTCCAGATTAGGTCACACCAACACTTATGTTAGCCACTAGCTAGTGATGTTACCGATACCTAAGCATGATGCGATCTTCCTATTTTATTATCTTTTCTGTAACAGAACATGCTTTCCTTATTTTATTGTGTTTTCTTTGATACACCTGGGAAAGTTTTTGTTTGAGGTGTATTACAATGACAGGGAGGTTCCTGCCATTTGTTTTTCCTCTAAGGGATAAGGATATTTTATTATTACTTTTTTTAAACAAAAACTAGCCAAGAGCCCATGCGTTGCAAGAAAAAACAAATCGAGTGCCTAGCTTATTAAGTAGTACCTTTATGATTTTCCTTCCTGAACAATTAGGTGATTTCAAAATTTAGAGATAGCTAGGAATGAAACATAAGAGGACTTGTTAGAGTGTGGTGTAATAGTATAGATTGTGAGGCCCTAATGTCAGTGGTAGGGGTGATGTGGCAGAATGGACACCACCACTGCTAGCATTTTCATGGTCATGTTTACTTGCTATACTCGCATCTTTGGGAAAGCTGGAGTAGTCATATGTAAGTCTGTAACTTAGATTCCATAGTACCTCACGTCACCCTCAAGCTTAATAAATGTTGAAAGGCATCATTTTTTAGCTGATGTACTACTCCTTCCGTCCCATAATATAAGGGATTTTGAGTTTTTGTTTGCACTGTTTGACCACTCGTCTTATTCAAAAAAATTTGGAATTATTATTTATTTTTTTGTGACTTACTTTATTATTCAAAGTACTTTAAGCACAACTTTTCGTTTTTTATATTTGCATAAATTTTTTGAATATGACGAGCGGTCAAAGAGTGTAAGCAAAAACTCAAAATCCCTTGTATTATGGGACGGGGGGAGTATTTGATTTGTAAGACCAAATTGAATTGGTTGATTTCTTTAGTTGATAATTGATGCTTTTTTGGTTGCTATAATTAATTTGTAGTCCGCAAAGAAATTATTGCGGAAGGGCGTTGCATAAATTAAGAGAATTGTGACTAGCTGTACATGCCATCAATACATACATGTTTTTTCCTATACAGGGTGTTTAGCAGTACTGCAGTAAGCACAGAATGGTAGATGTGGAAACGTGGTATTTTCGTCACTAATTGTAGGTCTGATGTTCTAATGTCTTGTTTAATCTTTTGGTGTCAACTGTAGAGCATTATTGCCTCTTGGAATAAATAGGTTGTATATCCTTTCATTTGTTATTGTTCAGTGAGAGGCTCTGATATGTGCAGCTTCCCATCTTATGGCTTGATTATTGAATACTGGTCCAGGTTTCGTGCATAAATCTTTGTGGGCACACAATGAACCATTTTTACCCCCGAACACACTCCCCGCACTAGACCCTTCTTCGATTAATGGATATCTTGCTGATGTATCTATCTCTTGTCTTTGGATTGATCTGTAGTCAACGTTAGTTATGTCTGAAAATATACATTAACTAAAACCCTGGCATGAGGTCAAAGGATTAAGATTTTCCTGTTTCGGTACATGCCATATGATGTCAGTGTGTAGATTGGCTATGTGTTAGTTAAATTTCTTCTACTAGTGTAACCCTTACATGGACTGTTTATAAAGTATTCACTGTTTGTGGTGGCAAACAAAACCTGTCATAACATGCCTGTTTTTGTAGCACTGCTTGATTCAACCCACTTTCTCACATTATACTCCCTCCATTGCACATTACTTGTCGTTCTAGCATTCAATTTTTTTAATCAAAATACTTGTCATTCTCACATTTCAAAGCACTTTTAGAGGTAACCTTCCCTCTCTACTCTTCATTAATGTAGTCACAATTCTTATTGGCTCGTCTGCTTGGGGAAAATAATTAGGATGTACTTAATGAGTGTAACAATGTAATATACCACATCTCCTTGGTTTGTGTGAGATTTGCTAGAATGACTAGTAATTTGAAACAGAGGGAATAGATATCTAAAATTGGAATTTGCTGTTCTTCAGATTTGTGTCATTGTGTGTATGTATAACTTCCAGATAATAAGGTCTTCCATCATAATTCATTAGAAGCATTATTTAGTTATCTCTTCTGACCCTGAGCTTGTCAAGTCATAAAGGAGTATTTCCTTGTTGCCTCGTGCATGAGATCTATATTTGTAATGTTAAATGACTTACTACCTTTAATTTTCTTAATCCCTGAAGACTCAAGATATTATGTTTGTGTCTTGTCAAATTAACGTTTACTTTGATTGATGTTCCTTAGACAAAGTCGTGTTCAGCTTGCAATTGCATCATTATCTCTTTGAATGAAACGATGGTTTAAACTACTAGTATTCTTGAAACTTTGGTGTTTAAACTATTCTTGCAATTGCACCGTACACTACTTGTGGCAGCTTAAAATATTCAACTGACCAAGTAGAAGTTATGTTTTTACTTGTAATTGAGTTTGACAGCACTAGGTCTGTCGTCTGTGGTGTACTACACTTATCATTGAATTTAACGGCTAAAAACCTAAAACTATGCTCAATGCACCTGTCTGTGGATGGCTTAATTCTACATGCCAGGCTGATAAAACTTGTGGAATCATCGACAACTTGATCGGCTGATTATCTAGTTCTCGTGGCAAATATCGCATAGTCCATTTCTGTGAATGGTGGGGGCTCTGTAGTGCCAGACTGCCGGTTAGCACCATTGGTCACTACTGCAAAATATCTACTTTTGTTTTACTTACGCTAGCTATGTCTAGTGTTGTTTTAACATTAATTTTGTGCAACTTCTAGTTTGTCATCAAGGCCAAGTTCGTCATCTAGTTCGTCTACTTAGCTTAATTGTTTGCTCGTAGTCCTGGCGCGCGCGAAAGTTTACTGCTTTTTTAGCGTGGGGTCTGGATCTTTGGAAGAAACCTATTAATGCTGAAGAATGGTATGAAGGCTGACGGCAACTTGTGAACCATTAGAAACTTGTTAATCACGCACCCATTAAAAACTAGTAATCAGGTATCAGCTGCACTGTATCTTATTTTTTGTTTGGTGACTATATCCTTGATCCACGTGTTGTGTTTAAGTCATTTCCATTATCCCATTCTCTAGAATCTATCATAGAATACCTTATCTCTGGTTTAATTACGAAAAAAATTGCGAAATTGTTGCTTTCGCACCGCCAACCTTTTTCTTGTTTTGAAGGCGACTACGCCGTCAGAAAAGCGATATGCTTCGTTTCTTCGATCATGAATTGATCCATTCCCTGTTACACTGACAGGGATGGGGCAACAATTTTTATTCAATTTCTTCCATCTTTTTTAATATGATAGAAAACAATTCTTACACAATTCATTTCGATTCTTCCATCCTACTATTTAATACGATACGTCCCCCTGGTTGTTTATATGATGGGGGTGAGTGCTTCACATGCTGCTTATTAGTTTATGCTGCCGTGGCTTACATGCGTCCTTCACAGACCGGAATCGGCCTGGCTCGGCCATCCTGGATTAAATATTTGCTCCGACGACAAACTGGTCCAAATGATATGGGTCGCCCTGCTTACATGCTGACGCCGACAGGCCTGGCCTGTTCTGCCACGGAACGCTACTGGCTTACACAATCTAGCGGCAATTTCTCGCGTTCGACACGTTGCCTCTGATGAGCACCACATCACCCATATCATGGGGCTCATCACCCACATCACCCTCTCTTGCCATTTCTCCGGCACGATAATGCCGCAAGAGACCTTTTTCATGTCTAGTGAGTGAGGCTAAACAGGACTGGGACGTTTTACACGCCCAATTCGAGCAGATCTTGTCCATCCCTTTTACTCGCCTTTTGCTTGCCACCATCCTTTCAGCTCGAGCTATAAAGAAAGTGTTCAGTGAACCTGTCGATACCAGGCGCATACCAAGATGCCTTCGTAGTTTGCAGTCCAGTCCAGTGGATCTCTTCACACACTTGCTGCTACTCGCTGGCTAAATTGGCTATGGGTGATGCTCGTTAGTTGACCTGGCTATACTACGCCATGCCCGAATAGGCGAGGTCGCCATCGTCTCCGCGTGACACGCACCGTCGCTTTTGTGCGTTCCGATCAGTGATGCACGGATCGAAGCGCTCGTACTACACCAATACTGTTGTAGCTGCACAGCCCGCCTCTCGGGTGCCGACACGTCGCTCCTCCGGGGAGCGGACACGTCGGCGTTCAATAATTTCGCAAGTGGATCGGCGGTTTGGATGGCTCCGGCTCGGCCACGACGCCGTCCTCGTGACTGTCCGTCCTGAGCGGTCCGGTGTCCACTCGAGGTGCATGTCAGGTGACCACTGGGTACGGCACTGGGCTAGCTCGCCTTCTATGCAGCGTGACTGGCCAAGCTAGGTTCATCGTGCGTGAAGCGTGAAGCGCGATGCGCCCGTGTGCTATTTCACGTGCTTGATCGCGATGGGCTGTTGTACTAGTCGTAATCGCAAACACAAGTGGTTGCTTGCTTGCGACTTGCGAGTGTTGTTCGATCGTGTAATGACGTTCGAGCGGCATTATACTGCAGCACTGATACTCCTAACTCCTCTAACCAAAGGTACTCCTATATTACTACTCTATCACTACGTATTGTTAATGCAATTGCAGTTGGGAGTTATGTTAAAGAAAAATACGATCACTGACGCGACGCCCCCGTCAGCGTCTATGGATGATCACTCATACTCAGCGAGCTAATAACTAGTACAGCGACCTCCACTAAAGCTCCGGAACCGGCTCTGAGGTCAGGATAGAAACGTCAGGATTCAGGAAAACTAGACGACGGTGTGGTAGACTGGTAGGGAATTCGGAGACGCGAGTAACACGCGGCGAGTGCGTGCAGCGAAACGGCCACGCACCAGTAGGGCACTAGGCTCGGTTGGTGCCTCTCCTTCGGACAAAAAGTGTCCGCGCGCGAGCCCCACCCAACACCCAGCAGACCACACGCCTGGGTCCAGCGCAGTAGCGCACCCGCAGCCGGATCAACGTACTGGATCAGCTGCTGTAGATTTTAGCCTTACGCGGTCGCCATGGGACGCCGCCCGCGCGCGCGATGGGCCGCCTCCGCGCGCCGCGCGCCAAAGGCACCGCGCTTTGTGCGGTTGCGATTCACCACCCGCGGCCGGTGTTGCCGTGATGCCGTCTGATCGATCGATCTCAGTGGTCACACAGACAGTTGTGATTCTTTGCGTCTCTGGCTTCCCAACGTAACAGAAAGGAGCTGATCGAGGGATCGAACGCGATGACGACGGTCTCCGGCCGAAAACGAAAGTTTCCAGTACGCCGCAGGAAATTCGATCACGCATCTCCAGGCCTCAGAATTCAAATGAAACGTAACCGAAGCGAAGACGACTAATTTGTCAAAGGGATAGGATGGATGCATTGCACGTACGTACCTATAAGTTAGCTACTCCTTGAGTAGTCTTTGGAAGATTCTGGTGCGGCCCCCGCGCGCGGACCGAACTAACCAGATTCCAGATGAGGGAGGCTGCACCGCTGCCGATCGAAGTGCCGAACTAGGTAAGCATGCCTTCGTATGAGTACGTACTTGCGTGATGCTGAATTGAATGTAGGTGGCAATGAACTAGAATATTTTGACTCTCTTGCTCCCAGTCGAGAGAAAAAAAGAGCAATTGATAACAATCCGGTTTAGGTGAGGTCGGCCGAGACACAATAACTTAAGCTTGTCTGGACCCTAACAGTTTTTAGGCACACCTTCTCGGAGAAAGGTCCAATCTCCCTAAAAGTCTAGTCCAATAGGGGAAGGGTGGCTCTCAAGCTAATGATAACAATCCGGTACAGGTGGGGTCGGCCGAGGCACAATAACTTAAGGTTGTCCGGACCCCAACAGTTCTTAAGCACACCCACTCGGAGAAAGGCCAAATCTCCCTAAAAGACTAGTCCAATAGGGAAAGGGTGGCTCCCAAGCTAAACAAGATGGGATTATTCAGAGGCTCACACGGTTGCCACCCGACTTTTGCGTCTTTGCTAGCGGGTAATAGATGAGGACAAGAGGCTCACACGGTTGCCGCCCGACTTTTGCGTCTTTGCTAGCGGGTAATAGTGGAGGATGTCCTCATCATTCCCACCCCCTTAACAAGGGCCCAGCTCTGATACCAAATGATAACAATCTGGCCTAGGTGGGGTCGGCCGAGGCCCAATAACTTAAGGTTGCTCGAACCCCAACAGTTCTTATGCACACCCACCCGGGGAAAGGCCCAATCTCCCTAAAAGACTAGTCCAATAGGGGAATGGTGGCTCTCCCTTTTAAGGTGGCTTTCTCCTCCCAAGCTAAGTAAGATGGGATTATTCACAGGCTCACACGGTTGCCGCCTGACTTTTGTGTCTTTGCCAGCAGGTAATAGTGAAGGATGTCCTCATCAGCAATATTGATTGATTTCTTCTTCATGTTGCTGTCCATGTAATTTGATAAGAGATTTCCGCTAGTGAAGAGTGATTCCCTTCAGTTTTAAGTGGTGTTTGGATCCATGAAGTAAACTTTAGTCTATATCACATCGGATGTTTGGACACTAAGTTGGAGTATTAAACATAGACTACTTACAAAACTAATTACATAAATGAGAGTTAATTCACGAGACAATTTTTTTAAGCCTAATCTCTATCTCCACTATTATAAAAATTGAAGATATTTTTGCCGGTATTTTGGTACGTCATCCATGTATGAGTCGGTTTTTAAGTTCGTTTGCTTTTGGAAATACATATCCATATTTAAGTCGGTTTGTAAGATTGTTCACTTTTGGTAATACAGAAGGAATCATATAAGAAATCTGTTTAAAAAAACTCGCATGCTAACTTGAGATGATCGTACTCCTAACCACCAGCTCATGATTTTCTAAAAAAATATATATCTAAGGGAACTTCCACAGTGAATTTCATTTTAAATAAACCATATAACAATAATAAGATTAAAATAGACTTCACCCGCTGCAACGCACAAGTATTTTTTCTAGTTAATCCATAATTAGAGATTGTTTAGTGTAGCATCACATATGCTAATCATGGATTAATTAGGCTTAATAGATTCGTCTCGCGAATTAGTTTAGGGTTATGGAATGAGTTTTTGTCATTAGTC